TCAAACACAATTGAATACATTAACACACAGGAATATCAATATTTTCTTAAATTAGTACTGCGAATAATCGCCTTGACGTGGAATTACGTTCCGAGACAACCTCGTTGTCTCGGAACGTAATTCCACGTCAAGGCGATTAGTCGCTGTACTAATTTAATTATTTCCCTTTCGAGTGGTTTCTTTGGGTTTTAAATTCTCAATATTTTCTTATTAATTATATTTTAATGAAGTAAAAACACATTTTATTTTTGGTTGTTCTATTTAACACCACTTTTATGCACCGAGTTTTTAGTATTTTTTCCAGAATTTTTATTGTTCACGGACAAATATTGTAAGCTTAAAATACTCCAAGTATTTTTATCTGGTCTGTGATTGTGAAAAATTCAGAAGCATTAAACTCTCTTTGTTTGATTCGAAGCTGCAGCAAAACTATGAAGTTTGATAAAAGCGCCATATTTATCTGGAAATAAATCAATTTAACAAAATTTCATAACATAGGATAAAACTTGCAATGAAAAGTGATCTCCTGTTAATTGCAAAGTAGCCATCAAGAGAAACTGCTGGAAAAAATGTCAGTGTTCGACTAAAGAATTTCATCATCTAAATTTGTGTGAAAAGATAAAAACAATCGATAATTAAATAAATTCATTATGCCTATAAAATTCAACCATTTTTTTCGCAGGACGACTCATTTTAAGTGATTTTGTTACAACCATTGCTTCCATCAAGTCCCTCTTCAACTAATATATTTAAAAATTTGAATTATATAAACTTTTAGATTATTTGTTTTAATTACTCTCTGTTGGGCACCCTCTGAATGTATAATAATGTACAATAGTTGACCATATGCGATCAAAATCATGAGCAAAATGAAAGCTTGAATTTCTGGCTGGTCCAAATATATATAAATTGTAAAAAGTTGAAGAGTGAACAACAAAACAGTCATGCAGGAGGTTATGATCAATGCTCCAATATAATATGTGAAGCAGTTTCCTGTGTAAATAATATCTTATTAATTTTTTTTATAATTACAAATCAAATATTATAATGAAATGCTATTCATTATCGTGTAAAAGTATTAGTTTATTAATTTGTATTTATCTGAAATAATTAAATGTGTATTTTGTATATACCTAGTTGACGGCAGGTGCATGTAATCAGGCTGTGCCACACTTTGCGAAATTTAAGGGCATCTGGATCGATGTCATGAAACAATGCTCGCATTTTGGTGTTGTTTGAATTAATCATCTTTTTGTAAAGAAATCAGTTAGAAAAATATCTAAAATCAATCTAGTTCATTGAACTTATATAAATTACCTTGTATTCCTTCAGTAACATGGTTGAAGATTTTTTTGCAGAGCTCAGCATTAATGACCAAAGAGAAAATATCATCAAATTAAAGTGTGCCCCAACCAAACGCAAAATTGTTTCAGTTCTCGGAAGAAATCTTGCAGAAGAATACAAGTCTAAAAAAGTGAGTAATATTGATGCAACGACCAAAATCAATATAGATCTATTGGTTTTCTTAATTATCCCATAATCGACCTGCTGAGAATTCGTGTTCACTTTTCGTAAGGCGACCTTCAATTAAAAGAAATTAATGCTAACGAGGATTCTACATCAAACATATACATTTAATTTGTCCCAATCAGTGAAGAATTTCAAGACATCTGTCAACTTGGGTAGAAATAGAATTGGAGACATTTGAGGTATTAAAAGAGCGGTCAGAAAAACCGTGATAAGCAGATAATTCGACTCGTCTCTTTCAAAAAACTAAATCCTCATGAATTTGAAGATTGAACAGTACAAATTGTGTTTTACCTTTACTGCAGCCACCGTGTACAGTGTGGCCATTCCTAGTTGCACGAAATTATATAGAGCAAAGTAAAGCGTGGCCCAACTATAAATTTTAAACTCTAATTTTCCTGTTTTGCGCTGTCAACTGAAAATGGAAACAATCCCAAAAAAGCCGTGAACTTGAAATAGCGCCGCATTTCTAAAGCGAAACCTTCCATCTCTAAAATAGATGTGTAGCTTGCGCCTCTGGATATTGTGAGGTATTGATACTCTTATATTGAGCAATAAGGAGGCAATAAAAATTGATTATATGTCTGCAGATTCCATTAATTTTGCTAGGAATTTACGACATTAAATATATCTTTTTCATAAGTTCATGCCCAAAACAATAAAATTATTGCTATACATTTCGATAATCATTTTGCAAATGTTATCACTGAAGGACCTTTTAAATTTTTTAGTATTATAATGTTATAATAATTTTTAAGAACAGCAATTAAAAGTCTCCGAAAATTTTTATTTTATCTGTGATCGTCACAAATTCCCAAACATCATAGCCTTTTTGCTTGATCCGCAGTTGAAACAATACAATGAAGTTTGTTAAAAGTGCCGTATTTATCTGCAATGAAATAATCATATTATCATGAACAATTATGTTGTGTAAACAATTTAACTTGCAGTGAAAAGTGATCTCCTATTCATTGTAAAGTAGCCATCAAGTGAAACTTCTGGGAAAAATGTCAATGTTCGGCTAAAGAATTTCATCATCTAAAAATTAAGAAATAAAACAAAGCAGGGGATATTTTATTATCCAACAATTTTTTTTGCTGGTGGACTTATTTTAAGTGATTTTGTTATTTCCATAGCTTCCATCAAGTCTCTTTTTATCTAAATTTTATTAAAATTATTTTTAAATCTTTAAGATTTTTCACTTTATTACCGTTTGTTGCGCGCCCTCTGATTTCATAATAACGTAAAGTAGTTGACCATATGCAACCGAAATAATGAACAACATACTCGTTAAAATTACTGGTTGGTTGGCAGATAGAAATAGTGTGATGAGTTGAAAAGTAACAATTGATATAGTCAGGCACGTGGTGACAATCAACGTTCCAATAAAATATGTAAAACAATTCCCTGAAAAAGAAAGAGAAAATGATCGTCATAAACCCACTTATATCCTTAGCTATTTTTCCGTGTGATTAATTAATCATGAAGTTAATATTTTCATAAAAATTAAAATGAATAATTTAAGGTAAAATATAGTTCACCTAGTTGATAGCACGTGCAAGTAATGAGACTGTGCCACATTTTGCGGAATTTCAAAGCGACTAGATCATCGTCTTGAAACAAAAGTCCCATGCTCAATTCGTGACGACAATTAATTGCCTAGATTCAAATCATGCATTAGCAAAACTAATAAAAAAATTAATACCTTGTATTCCTCCAGAACCTTTGCCGACGCTTTTGTTGAAGACTTCAGCGAAAATGACCACAGAGATAAACTCATCAATTTGAAGTGAACACCAATCAAACGTAAAACTGTTTCACTTCTTGGGTGCAATCTTGCGTTGATGTACAGATCAGAAATGAGAAGCACCGCTGTTATTAAAACTAAAATAATTATTAATCTGTTTGTCTTTTTAACTATTCCATATTTAATTCGCTTTTTGGTTACGTGATGAAATATTGCCTAAATTAATAACGCAATTAAATATTCAGTAACACATTAATAAATTTTATTACTCACTCTAAATCTTTCCCATTCATGAAAGTATTTTAAAATATCTTTCAAGTTAGGTAGAAAAACAACGGACCCCATTTGAGCTCCTATGAGACCGATGAGAAAAATTGACAATGTAAGGGAATTGGATATGTCGCTTTCGATTAACTGCGGAGACGCATTCACGCATTAAGCCAACTTCAAAATATCAACAAAGGTTTTACCTTTAATGCCGCCATAGTGTACAAAGCACCAATTCCCATTGATATTGAATTGTAAAGAGTAAAATATAGTGTGACCCAACTCAGAAGTTTAAACTCCAACTCTCCAGTTTCGCTCACTGAAAATGGGAACAAGCCCAAAATCGCCGTAGTCTTAAAAAATCGCCGCATTTCAAAAGTGAGTCCTTCCATTTTTTGATAAGACGGGATATTGTGTGGTGACAGCGGGTTCATTAGCGTATACAATGGAAGATATATTAAATATTGATTTATTTTCGATCATTTAGGAAAGAGTTGTATTTCGCAACTGGGGCACGAAAATTCAATTTGAGTAAATTTAATATCGCACTATTGCCTATAAAATTAAATAATTGCGCCACTTCCAAACCAAAGTTCAGTCAGAGTGGGTTTAACTAATATTTTATTCAATGTGAAACAATTTATTAAATTATTTCCATTTTAAGTATCAATTTAAATTTAATAAAAAGCATGAACAACAATTTTTGCCAGAGCCTTTGTTTGCTCTGCCATATTATTTAAATGGCATATTCTTTCACGTTTTATTTGTAATTTAGTAAATTAGATTTATTCGAAAAAACCATTTTTGGTGGTCGTAAACCTCGTCACATCCACAATTTGTGCTAAAAAATTCAGTTTCAGATTTCAGAGGCAGCTAATTTTTGTATTCCCTTGCTTCGAAAACTAAAAACAACCAAAAGTGGAAAACTTAACAAAAAGCGCATCTTGAATGCTGATGAACTTCAGAGAGTGCACCGCAGTAGTTGTCATTAAAAACATGAGAATTAACAATTCACTTCCTGTAAAATAATAATAATCACAATTAGTTGTACAAAGCGGTTTATTTTTAGTTCAAAAGATAGATATGTGATCTTGTATTACAAGTTCTCCCACCAGCAATTGAATACACCTTGAGACTGCACGTCCACGCAGAGGTCAAGAGTCTAGAATTTTCCAAGAAAAAATGGTGATAATTCGTCAAAATTAATAAAAATAAATAGCATCGTCGGCCGTGGAGGGAAAATCCTTTTATATCCATTCGAACGCAATTATATTCGTCCGAACCGGAGTTTGCAAATGCAAATTGAGCTCCGAGAGCTGGTTTTCAAGTTCACGGAAGTAATAATAAGACGAGATGAGATATGCGCGCGGCGTATGATCCTGAGTAATGCAGACTTGCTAGGTGCAAATATGTAGCTAGTCAAGGTGTACCGGATGGCGAACCGCGAGTGCAATTGCAGGAGAGCCGTCGTGGCCTGCACTTCTCGCTAGCGCTGTCCGACACGTCTCGCATGCCGTCATGCACGGGCCCAAAACTTTGTTGTCCGCGCTGATGCTGCTGGCCGCCGCCACAGTTGGTGCCCAAAATGACGAAGAGAGTCCGGTCTTCGGAGCTTTTCTGGCGCAGTCCATGACGGAGGCCCACGAGCACACGGCGGTCAGGAGTTTGTGCGCAAATTACACCAAGCTGTACCTGCAGGAGCTCAAGAAATTCACTCTTTGGGCCGTGCTAAGTAAGTTTTTCTGAAATCACTTATTTTTTTGTTCATATTTAAAAAAAATTACATAGATATCTGAAACTGATCAGAAAATTTCATTTTATAATGAATACATTTTTTTTATTCAATTAAAAATTAAATTTATACCAGGTCAGATAAATATAGAAAATAATTATTTTGCACATTTTTAATGGACTAATTTTTATGGATTCTATTTCATTTTATGATTCTTCTTTTTATAATTTTGAATTTAATTTAAATTTTAATTTGAAATGACTGTAACGTTAACGTTATCTTTTTTTATTCTCCATATAAGTGTGCATAAATTAAACAAGCGAAAATTGCAATCTTGCAGTGTACGACTCGACTGCAAAAGTGCCTGACGGCGTTTTGAGCGGAAACGTTTACCAATTCGGCCACTACGACGGTTGTCTGAAAATCAAAGTGGATTTGGGCGACGGCGAAGGATTCAGAGGCAAACATTGCCTGGCAAAAATCAAATTCGAACCCAAACCCGAGACCTACCCTGAATATTTCCTTCCGGCCAAAGATCCTTTCCGAATGGAGTTTGGCGCCAATGAAAGCGCTTGGGAAAAGTTCAAAGTAATATTTGATAAAAATTTAAAAAATTTGTTATAAATTATATTATTTTTTAACAGTACACAGGAGATTTGAGGAAGCAGCGGCGAGACGCGATTTACTGGGGCGTCTGCGTTCCGTCCGTGTGCAATGCAAAAAGCGTTGCCGAAGGAATAAAAAATGCAATCAAACCTCTGCAAGCCAGCATTGGCGTCAATGCCAATGTCGAACTTGACGAGACCAACTGCAAAATCTATCAACACGAGACTTTTGATGAGCTTGACATTTCTTATGGGTACATTTAAAGAAATAAATTATTTTAAACTTTAATAATAAACATTTTTTTCAGGTCTTTGTTGCTGACGTTTATTTTGTTGGTGCTTATTTGCACCGCAGTTGACACCTACACTGCGTATACTGACAAAATTTGGGATAGTAAGTTTAATTTTTGAATTTCGATAAATTAGTATAAAATTACTTCAGGATGAGAAATTAATTTCTAAAATTCTCTCATTGACCATTTTTTATTTTAATTTTTCAAATCTAGGTTTAGGAATAAGACTTCTGCGCTCGTTTTCGATCAGAGCCAACTGGATGGTCTTGGTCCAAGGCCCCGCGCCGCGAGACCACGACGCCGGTGACCTGAGATCAATTCATGGCATGAGGTTTTTCTCAATGCTGCTAATCATCATGGGCCATCGCTGCATGTTCTCTTTGGGAGGCCCACTTTTCAACCCCGAACTCATCGAGCAGGTTAATAATTTAATTTTTTATTTTAATTATTTGCTTCAATCGAATTTTTTTTTAGATTTACACATCAGCGGCAAATATGATTCTTTTGAACGGCACAATTATTGTCGACACATTTTTCTTGATCAGCGGGTTCCTTTCTTGCTACCTCATGTTGATAGAGCTTGACAAAAAGAGGAAGGTCAACGTCCCATTGTTGTACGCGTACAGATACATCAGGTAAATAAGAGATCAATCTGCGTCGGTAGCATTGAAAGAGACTTTTGCATTCACAGATTAACTCCGGTCTACGCCATGGTTGTTGGGTTTTACGCAACTCTTTATCCGAAATTGGGCGATGGCCCCATGTGGGACCAAAAGGTCGGACTCGAGAGGGACAGGTGCAGGGCCAACTGGTGGGCCAATTTGCTTTACATCAACAACTACATCAATGCAGAAAATATGGTTAGTGCTTTAGATTTGATTGGAATTAAATTACTATTTTAATTTAATTTTTTCAGTGTATGTTCCAATCGTGGTTCATAGCTTGTGACATGCACTACTTTTTGCTGTCGCCCCTAATTATCTACCCTCTCTGGAGGTGGCCCCGACCTGGCAGAGTCCTACTCTTCTCTGTCACTACCCTTTCGGTAATCATACCTTTTGCGGAGACCCTGTTGGGAGGACTTGATGCGGTTCTTCTTCTTTTTATGAGGTTTGTCAACATGAATTTATAAAAAGAATTAGCTAAATTAAATTTATGAATTAAATTTTAAAAGTACAAATACTTAAAAACAATGGTGAGATTTCAGATTTAACAAGTAATTTAAAAAATTAATTTTGACAAAAAAGAGCTAATTCTGCGTAAATCCATTTGGCTCAAGTTTGTCTGAATTTAATTAATGACATTTTATTTCAGCACACTGGCTGATCCAGTTTCGAACATTACATTCCGTTCGATTTACATCCCCACGCACACCAGAGCAGCTCCTTATTTCATTGGAATGCTTTGGGGTTACGTTCTTTACAAAATTAGGGCGGACGGAATCAAAATCAACAAGGTAATTTTTTAAAAACCAAAATATAATTTAAATAAAAAATTATTAAACTATTTTTAGAAAATTGCTGCAGTAAGTTTTGTTTTCCTGCACTTTGTCGCGTTCGGGTGCATTTTCGGCGCATGGGCTTTCTACATCCCCGACATTCCCCGATCGGCCCTGGAGAAGGCCCTGTACGGAGGACTGCACAGAGCAGGCTGGGCGATTTCCATCGGATATCTTATCGTTTCCTGTTCGCTCAATTTGGCTGGTAAATAATTCTCCCTTTCACCGTCAAAATGAGACTAAAAGTAGCTTTTTAGGTCCATATCGAGCCCTTCTGTCATGGAAGCCGTTGGTGCCTTTGGGACGACTGACTTATTGTGCCTTTTTGGCCCATTCTGGCGTGCAAATGTATCAATCTGCAACCATGCGAGTGCCTGAATACATGACCTACTTTAAAATGGTAAATTTAATTTAAATCGATGAAATGGAATTAAACTAAAATGAGAAATCTTTTTAGTACTGGATGACTTTGGCAGACATTTCTTTCACCTTTTCTGTTGCGTTGGCCATTTACATGCTTTTCGAAGCACCAGTGACTGCGCTGCAGAGAATAATTTTCAAGAAAGGTAAATTTATCTAGAAAAAAATCTGTTTTTTGATAAAATAATCATCTTTTCCAGACCGAAAGGATGTGAACCATGATCAATCGCCAGTGACAATTGTTCAAAACGACATCAGAGAAACATGCAGAGCGTGAAGGGAATCAAGAAATTATTATATTATTATTAAATTATAATTTGTCAGCTCAAAGAATTCCTAGCATTAACCTAAGTGTCAAGACAAATCTGTGATTTTGTCGTAAACTGTCACAAGCCTCATCTCTAGTCTCCTGTTCAAATATCTAACACCTCGATATTTATCTATGCCATCGACTCATTAACTTGGTTGTTAACAATGTTAAAATGTTGTCTTCAACTAAATTAAAATTATATTACTTTATGAAACAATCGTCTTTTATTGTGTCAACCAGGCATTAATTATTTGGCCACATCATTTTTTTTTTTTATAAATAATTCAGAATGTTATTTTCAAACTAGTCAACATTGTTGTGAGTCACAACAAGAAAACACTGATCTCGAAAATAAACACCAACATCAATAAAAATGCAATCGTTGAATTGTAAACAAAAAGGCACAACTTCCGCGTTAGATAAACTGGCTTAGTAGGCAAACCTGTTGTTCTGGTCGTAGCCCAGTTTGTCCAGGTTCGGGATGCAGGCAAAGTTGATCATTGGTGGGGGGCCGCACATCAGCACAAGGTTGTCCGACGAAGGTGGGAACAGGTGCTCCTGGATCATCTCAGCAGAAACAAAACCGGTGCTGTATTTCCAGGCTAAAAATGAAAATCAATTATAAATGCGAAATTTTGTTGATAATTGAAGAACTAACAGTCGGAGGCACGGTCAACGGTGAACCACAATTTGAATTGGTTCGGGTGCTCCTTTGCAACTTGCTCCAGTTCGTTTCGGAGGAGGATGTCATCTTCGGTCTGGTTGGCAAAGATCAGGCGCATTTCAGTTTCGTCTTTGGGGTCACGAGTGATGTGACGAATCAGCTGCAGCATCGGAGTGATTCCAGTGCCACCTAAAATAGAGCATATCTATTAATATTTAATAAAATGAAAAGCGTTTCTTCTCTTAGATAAAAACTAAATTTGTTTAAGTTCTAATTAACTTTTACATTAGATAGCAATAAAAAATGCTTCAATATAGACGTAATTTAAATAAAATAATAGCAAAAAATAAAGTTTCCTATTTTACAATACAAAATTTATCAACTGACCAGGTGCGAATCAAGAATTTTTGTTAAAAATTACTGAAAATTTCTACAAATGACAAAATATGAAGAACAAGTTGTTTTGTTTTATATTAAATTTTCCAAAATCAATAAAATTTACAGAATATCATTTTGATACTCATGTAATTCTAATTTAATTCAATTTAAATCAGTTAATTGAATTATTAACAAAAATTACCAGCAATCATCGACAGTTTCTTAGCCTTGTGGACCACAGGCTCAGCACGAGGGGAGGGTTTGATGGCAAACTTGCCTCGCCCTTCATACACCAATCGGCCAGAAGGACCCTTGACGTCAATGGTGTCTCCAATTTTCATCTCGTTCAGGTGTTGACTCATCTTGCCGCCGTCAGGGAATTTAGGGTTGACATTGCGGTGATAAACCTGGAATCGAAAAATCACTGTAATCCAAAATATACATATTTATAGATAGGAATTAACTGACTTTGACAACCAAGTCAACAAAACCTTGGTCTTCGTCGCTGCTGACGGGTGTGTAAGGACGAGGCACGAAGCTTCCGTTGATTGAGGCAGACAGGTAAATGTGTTGGCCAATGGGCAGTCCTGCAAATACATGGAAAAACAATTAGATAAACTTGTCTCACAATCAAATGTCTTTTAATATAATGTTAAAATGGCTGCATAATGAAATGCAACTTTGGAGCCGAATATATTTTGAATAATACAGAATAAAAATAGATTTGAAGAGAATTTTTAAGAATAAAAAATAATATAAATTTCCTTTTTATTAATTTAGGCCAAATTTCTTCACAAAATCCTATATTTCACCTTTAAATACTCCAATTTATCAAAAATTCTGCTTGATTATTTACTTTTTTTCTTCCAATTCTTGAGTACATAGGGATGCCTTTTTATTTATAATTATAGAATCAAATTAAATATCTATGTTCATGTTATGAACATATAGAAAAATTGCACATGAAATTTAATAATTTCAGTTAAAATAAAATTCCCTCAATTGCCCTACATTTCAACTCATTGACCTTTAAACTGATTTTAATCAATAACAGCAAACTCGTCACTAAGTAAATTTAGCTTATCACCTCAACTACATATCTGGCGCCTATGATAAAAATATTATGTTATAAATCACGTCTCACTTCTGCTGATAATCAGCTTTTTTGTTTTTAGAAAATTTAAAAGCAATAATTTTAATTACCTAGAATGTGTTCGTCTGAAGGTAGAGCAAGACGGAAGCGTTTGGTATCATGGCTGATGTCCTCCTTCTCGATCAGTTTCAGAGGATACTTGGTGTTGGGGTCTAGAAGGGTCTTTTTCTGGGTCTTCTTTCGACGACACAGAATGTTGACGATGACCACAGTCACGGCTACGACGGCCACGCCGATCAGGATAGGCACCTGAAAATTAAAAATTTTAATTAATTATATTTGGGCAAATCAAAAGAAAAAGTTAAAAATGGAATAATTACAGCAGGGCATGTCATGGTGCATTCAATGGGAGAGCTGGGAATGAATTGAAGTTGAATAAGCAATTTATTAGTTTTGCAAAAAGCAGCGCTGACATGAGGTCAGCGAGTTATAGTAAGGCATTGAAGAAGAAGTTGTGGGAAAGTGTTGACAGAAGAGGAAACGTGCATGTTTTGTTATTTAAATAAAAGAGTCATAATTTTTATGTAAATTCTGCATTAGAATAAAATTAAAAAAAAATATATTTTAAGAAATTTAATCATAATAAAAGTAAAAAGTTTTTATAAAATATAGAGAAAAGTACGATGAATAAAAGGCAGAATGATGCAATTTTTGGGTGGAATAGAAATAATTATAAAATAATAATAAACACAAATTGACTAGAAATACCAAAAAATTACACACATAATTGGTCCAAACCAACAAACTCTTAACAAATATTTGCCCAAAATTACTAAAATTAACACACAGATCTCACCTTATCGACCATACTGGAATACTCTATGAAGCAATTTATCGCAAATTTCAGCCCAAGAAATCAACAACTGGAGTCTCGGCGCTCGGCGGTGAAAATTTTCGGTGCTCCTCTCAGACGGACGAAAGCTGGAGGGACAAAACGGGAATGAATCTTACAGCACAAATTTCCCAACAACGACACAAACAGAATAAAAAATTAAAAATATATCATCGCTTAATTTCAAAGATAAAAAAGCACAATCATCATCTTGGAAGAAAACGAAAATTTCAAGGTGAACACCCTGCGCGAGCGAAAACAAGTGTTGACAGGAAACAACAGGATTTTTGCGGTTAAAATCGGAGGCGAAATCAAAATTCAAAGCAGAATTAAGCTTTTGATAATTTACCTGGCCACCTTCTTGATTGTGTTGCAGCATGGAAACCGAGTGATGATTATTTTCGCTACCGAAAAATTAGAAAATTCGATTCCGACCGACTTGGCCAAATCTCCAGCTGGCCAGGCCACACTCGTGGTTTTCCTTTCCGGCGCGTGCGCCTCTTGCGGTGGAATTCTGAAGTAAGGTTTAGTTCGGATCTTTGCCACTTTTGCCTATTTTATAACATTATTTTATTATTTTTAATTATATTTTATAATATTAAAAATATTATTACTTCCGCTATCTGTGTATTTAAATTTAAATTTAAAGTCTTGTTTTGTTGGCACAATTGTTATTCCAGCAGTTCCAGTGCTCTTCCCGCTCTGCCTGTCTGCAAAGAGTGCAAAGTGCAGTTCCTGCAGTAATCTGCGGAGTCGTGTGTGAATATTTCTTTGTGAAAGACTTATTTTCCTCAAAGGAAAGTGCGTGTTGTGGGCCGTTCGTGAACAGAAACAATTGGAAATCATAAAGCCACGGCCGAAGATGGGGAGATTCGGGCTGAAAACGCTTCTGCCTGCTGTGAAAAGTTTGTGCCGATCGAAGGAATTCCTCTGCATGTCCTGTGATGGTCGGTGAGGACCGGGGGGAAGAGCAGGCGATCGGTGTGGCAGGAGCCGACCCTTCGAGAACCCACGAAGGTTTCGTCAAAGAGGACCTCCACCGAAGAGGACGATTGAAATCTGCACAGGTAAATCTCTTGTTTTTAGTGTCATGCCAAGCAAGACAAAGTCTTTGTCTGTACCTGTGTCCAGCTTTATTAGTGGTGCATATAAAGGCACCGCACCCATTTTATTTTCATTATTTTTTTTTTTTTTGCATTTTCGAGTTCAACTTTATTAAAAATCGAGATGACGAACAAAGCTTAAAATTAAATAAAAAGATTATGAAACGACTTGCATTTTTATAGGTTTTTGACATTTTAGGTTTTAAAGATGATTCTATCTGGCGTAATTTAGTTTTAACTTTTTATTTCTTTTCATTTGTGCTGCAAAAAATTAAAGAAAATATTTATCTATTTTTTTTGTGTTAATTTATTTATTTATTTAGAACGCATTAATATGATTTTTCGCCCAAAATAAGTCACAATTATTACGTTTTAATATAATTATGCATTTTTTCCTTCAAAATTTTGAATAAAATGCATATTTGCCAATGAATTCAGTCACCATTGATAATTTATCCTTAATAAAACAATTCGAATTTTCAGTCGGTGGAACTTCAGATTCAGAAGGCTTGGAGGGACTAAGGCAAGACTAGATCTAAATTGAGGGGAATATTTTGAAGACAGCAGCCCCCAATCCAGAGGGCAAACCCCATCATCATCAGCAGTCACCCTGGCCAAGACAGCAGCCAAAATTCGCGACCGCTTCAATTAAGGTCAGTGTTTCTTTTTTCAAAATAAAGTATAATTATTTACCATACTTTTGCACTTTTGATGGGTCAAGAACACATGCGTGGGTGCAAAATACCGATGTCTCTGTGACTGCGCTGGAAATCGATTTTATTTAATTGTGCGACTTTTCTTTCTATATAAATAATGTAGAAATTTATTTTTGCACTTAATTCGAACACCATATTTATTAAAATTCACATTAGGTTCCCTTCAACAGATTGAGAATATGTCAAAGGTTCCAATATAAAACGATAAAAAAATTAATTATTCATTTAATTTATTTTCTTGCAACATGAAATGGACAAGTCACATTGGGAGAAAATTGGCAGTTATTCCGAAAAACTGGACGTAATTTTAATTTTTAACATTTAAAGTTAAATATTAGCCTCAGTAGAGACCGAGGGTGACGAACGAGATGAGAGTTTAATTTCAAACATTATTACTCGGATTTGTTTGAAGAAGTTGACACTCGAGGAGATGATCATGGAAATGAAGAGATCGGGCTTTTCCTCGTTGCAGAAAAATTGTTTTTATCCAAAAACAAATGGCTCTACACCACATATTATCATAAAATTAAACTCTTAAAACCAATAAATTCATGAAAAAGTTTAGTACTCAAATTTATTGGTTTTAAGATTTTAATTTTATGTTAAAATGTGGTGTTTTTACAATTTTGCTGATTTTTTGTATTTTTCTTGCTCATGAAAATAAAAAACAATTTTTCTGCGACGAGGAAAAGCCCGATCACTTATTACTCGGGTTTGCGATAGATGGCAGCGGCGTCGCGAGTCGGGCTGTGGAGCGGCGCAAGTTGGCGCAAAGCGCGGGTTCGGCAGGCGGAGGAGCGGCTGACGCGGCTCGCGGTCAGGGTGCATGCATAGTCTCGTCTCGGCGTGCTCGCTCGCTAGCTGTGTTCCGCGCGGTGATACAAGTGCAGTGCTTGCTGACTGTGGCCGCCGCTAAAGGACACTTTTCGCCTCCTCGCACCATGGGACACTTGAAGATTCTGCTGCTGCTCAGCGTTGTCCTCTGCCACGGTAAATTCATTTGCTTTTCCTTCCGTTTTCACCGCGTGTCATTCGATATTTAGACGAAAAATGGCAAAAATACGACGAAATATATTTTGCTGTCACTTTTACCGGAAACGTGATAAAATTAATTCGTTTAAAAATTAATACACCAACAAAATCGTGACGGATATTTTTTTTTAACTCGAACAATGTAAAAATAAAATTACAATCGATAGAAGCAAAAGAAAAATAAGCTGTTGATATATTTTAATGAAGTTTTTAAAAATAATTAAAATTACTCTGTCCGTAATTAATGCTAAAAATATTTTTTCGCATTCAACTTTGAATGAAGTTAGGTGATTTTTAAGTTATATTTGTGATTTAAACTTAATTGATACACCTGAATCTATTAAATATATCGGCTATTTACAGTTAAAAAAATTAAAATTGATTTTAAAATTTCTAGTGTCTACTGTAAAATGAACTAACAGACTTTGAAGTCTAATCAAAATGCAAGATTATCTATTACCACTTAATTCAACCGCTAAAATTAAAACTTCATTATTAATATCACTTTCAATTAAAAATGTATTTTACGTTATCACCATCTTTATTTTTATTTTTTTGCAAATAATTTTTTAAGAATGTAATGAGAGTTATAATGGCTTGAAAACTACTCTCTTTATTAAAAAAAAATAATGCGAAATGGCGAAAGAAATTTTTCTTCCAACTGAAATATGTAAAAAAAAACTGAAAATTATTTGCTGCGTATGCTAAATGCGTGAAAAATCATGCTTGAAATTTTCTTTAATAATCAGTATCATTTATTTGTCAAAAGAGAAACAAGATTATATCCTTACTTGCTACTTTTTGCAGGGAAATTTTTCGTTTTTACTGAATTATTATTTTTAGCATGATGAGTAAATTTTCAATTGGGCTTTGCCTTTGTGAAATCTTTTACCAAATTGAGCCTTCTATTAATTCGATTTTTCATGAAATTCTCCTGTTGAGTGTCGACTTTCCTAAAAAAAATATCGAACATTATCATTTTGAATTGCGTTCCTTTTTGGTTTAATCAAAGAGACAACATTTCATTTAATTTGCTATCACCGTATTTAATTAATTAGCGTTAATAATCATCTTTAAATGCTCATTTACTTGCTTTCCATGGCTTACAAAACAGTTGACGCAGCAGATATTCTTCTCGTGTGTATTCAGACGCGAGCAATTAATTTCTCACGCAACTCGGCAGATTCCTGCTCTGGAACTCAATCAAACATCTCCGCAATATTCTCTCATCTGCATTTTGACGCCCCCTCTGCGTATCAATATTAATTTGAATAATCCAATCAACGGTGTATCACACCTTGCAAATAATTTCTCCAAGCTTCACCCTCGATTATTATTATTAATTTGGAGAGCAATTCTGAGATCTAATTTAGGCAGGGGCGAGTGTGTTGACCAAGCAAGCCCTGGACAAAGGTATGCGTTGGCAAAATACGGTGCGAAGGGTGAAAATGTATCGGCACCACTTGCTGCGGTGCTGGCTCGACTGGCCAAATATTTACCCTCACTCGATATCCTTGCATCAAGTAGAAAACGGCCCTTGACAAAATTGTCTGCAAAACCGGAACAGCCGCAAAAGCCAGAAATATGCGCCGCCCGTGAATATCTATGGCCGAGCTAAAAGCTTTTCGGTCGCAATTTGATGGCGCAGTTTTGGAACACACGGGCTAGAGAAATATTGTGATTCATTTAAAATTTCAATATAATTATGAAGCTTTTTGCATTATATCGATGAAATTTATTACAAGGATACAAAAATATAATTTATAACATCAATCAGACATTTGAAATAAAGTTAAAAAAAACAGTCAAATTTATTGTGATTTGAATTTAAAGTCGGCTTTCCCGGTTTTGTGAGTTGATAAAATGTTTAAGAAAAATCAATATCCTACTCTCATTTCAACTTCAGCCTTAAATTCATGAGCCGTGAAATTATTTTGACAAGAATTAGTTTGAAAATCAATCTTTTTTTTTCTTCCAAATTACAATTTTCCAGGAAAAATTATTTAAAAGTGAGTTTTTTTTTCACAAAACGATCTTTAACAAAAAATTTGACAATTGAATTCGCGAAACGCTACCACAAAAATAAAATTTATTGTTTCATTATTTTCTAATCAATGCTACTGCTAAATTTCATCAAATAGTTTTGTATTTCACAATTCTGTAATTAATATTACATCGTAATTTACATTTGTACCAACATATATCCTCTTTGTTTGTCACAAATACACATTTTTATAGCAAGCTAAACCAATATCAAACGAGATTTCATAAACAAAATTTTCACATATATGTCATTGAAAAATCTCGACACAAAATCCAATGAAATTTCAAATCGAGATTTTATTCCTGGAACTCCCCAAATTAATATTGGAACCTCACCATCTAAAGCAAATACAAGACCTTTTCCTTTTCTCTTCCTGCAGGCAGTCTTGGTGCGCCTCTCTTTCTCTCTCTCACTTTTAATTAAACACAAACAAAATCGTATATTATTTCAAACGCGACCGCAGAGCTCCGGTGTGGCTGGGCTTTAGTCTCTGGAAAGCCTGCTTTTCTCTCTCTTTCTGCTGACGGAGGACACATTAGAAAAGCGCCAAATTCCTCCGCGCACGTATAAATTCATCACACACATAAACTGCTGCAAAGTACACTCTAACGAAATTAGTTTGTACATTTTGGATTTCATAATTGCAAATTAGAGCGCTTTGTGTTTTGATAAACATAGAAAACAACTAGATTTCCTGCTCACACCGGTACAGATATTAATTAACTTGCTGCGAAGCTAATTAACACTCAAACTTTCGGACACTTTCGGATAGTGAATTGTTATTTATTGCTCTGTGGCCTCGGACGTCCTGCTTTTGAACGATGCGCGCGGCCAAACAACGTGGAATTAACAAGTAGTTTGTTTGGAGCTCGTGATGCGAAATTGTTCTATTTCAATAACGCACTTTCGCTGTTAATGAATAATGGACAGGACCTCCCACACGTGTAATTTCCTTTGCAAACTAACACATCCTGTGCAATATATAGATCTGTTGAGTAATGAATGTTGCCAAACAGCTTAAATTTTCTATATGATGAAAGAGCCGTAATTTTTTTTATTCATAAAGTAGATATTAAACAAAGGTATGGATAAATAAATTCCTTTATTTCAAATGATTTCAAAATTGATCAAATTTAGTGCTTTCAAAGCTAAAGATGAAAAAGACTAATAAAGGAATAAATTATTATCAGAGAAAGCCTTTAAAATATGATTTATTTTAGTTTCTATAAGTTTCAAATTTGTAATTCAAAATGATGTGAAATTAATACAAATTAATAATTGTGGTTTCAATTAGTTTTGATGGTTTTGAACTCCATCAGAGGAAAACCCCTAATTAATGATATGTTTACGTTTTGTCGCATAAATCAACAATTTCGCACATAATTTATCAGTGATTCTGCGTTTGGCTGGGCGATTTATATGGAATCAATTGACCGTAAATTGCAAATTAACGATTCGTATTAATATGCGGTTTGAAATGGAAAATATTCGCCAATTATCATGCAATTTGCTCCTGATTCAAAAACATTATATTACGCAAACCTTTTGGAGTGGGCGTCTCTGACGAAATGGATCTCTCAATCACGAGGCCATAAATCAGACGCATCCTTCTTTCTTTCTGCTTTTTTTTTTATTCTCTCGAAGGCGCGCGCTCATGTGTGTGAAAAATAATTGTTCTCGTTCGCCGTGCAGACGCGCCGAGAGTTCCACAAATATTCGGTGTAATTGTCTGTCGGTCGTGATTTCTCGAGCAAACAGGGCGGAAGGCGGTGCAGTGTTTTGTGTGTCGCGCGGCGCAGGCCAGGGGTGCTCCCTGAGCCTGAACGGCCGGAAGCCCCACCGTAACGTTTTAATATTTGGG